CCCCAAAACCCCAAAACCCCAAAACCCCGTAAAGTTTGTTTGATTTTAACAAAGAAAATGAGAAATTTATTAATATAAAGAGTTGAATAAATTTGAACAACTATTGATTTGAGGCAGACTAATCGTTCATTCTTAATAATCTTTGCCAAATCTATCTCCTCTCGCCATAAAGTTTGATAATGTGTTTTAGCTAAACATGTCTACGTCATTTTGAGAATTGTTTGCACCTCCCCTTAATTGCATAATTTGATTATCATCGAAAAAGGCTGATGAATAATCATCATCTACTTCCATCTTCATCTCCTCATCCAACTTTTTGTCTGGTGAAGCCATTGGTTAATTTTCTTAGAGACTTTTCAATCTTTTATCTTCATCTGTTTCCTCTCCAGCCAATTTCTGCCTTATCCAGTTTTCTATCCTAGCTCTAAGTTCATGCTCTTCAATAAGTTGGTCAAACTTTAAGGGACTTCTATTAAATGGATCATGTTCATCATTGAGTAATATTCTTTGCATTGTTGATCTATCACAGATGTTTCCACTTGTTGGCAATCTTACTGGATCTTTCATTAACTTATATGTCAATAGACACAAAAATTCTTCAGGTGCGTCATTTCCTAATATTTCTTCAAGTTCTGCTTCTTATTATGTGTATTTTGGAATCAATTGTACAAATTTCTCAAACTCTGTCAAATTTTCACTAGCTCTGTTTATTTTGAGTCTTCGAAGAGCTTAATTGAAATTATCTGTAGAAAAGGATCTATCATCTCTAACTACAGCTTTGCAAAAGTGATCAATCTCAGATAAGTTAGAATAAATCACAGCTAGATCTTGCAATAGTGCCATAGGCTTAAATGCCACCTTTTCAGGATTTTTTATAGTGGTTTGTGATCCATCAGGGCCAACAATACTTTTTAGAACAAAGTTTAGAGTTTATGCTATTCTTTCAGCAAATGCCTCATTGTCAAAGATCTTTTTACACCAATCAGAGAGTTACTTAGCATTCCAGATGCATTCACCTGCTAGTTAGAAGTTGGCTCTGCATATTTATTTATTTTGCTTATGATTGTCATGATCCTCCTTAGTCAACTTACTCTCACCTTCACGCTCTACTCTATTTTCATGTTCTTTTATTTTCTTCAATTTAACCAATCCTTCCTCAAGGCAAAAAGTCATGTCATTAATCAAGCTATTTAGGAACCTTTCAAAAATGGGACTTCCAACCATCTCTCTTACTTTTTGTCTGAAAAGATCTTGAGTCCAGAATCTCTGGAAAATTGTTGAACAGTCATGTCTGTATTGAAACTTAGTATAGAACATGGATGAGCCAGCAAATTCAATATCAACATAGAATTTGATGACTGTCTCCATCAAGGCATTAGTTACAATCTGTGATCTACCCATTTGCTGTATTAGTTCCTTCTTTTAATCTGCTTGGTGAAAGATAGCTATTAATTCAAGTGCCTTTGCTTTTATATAGGGATTAGTTATTACCTCTGCTTCAGTTCTTAGAAGTGCCAAACAAAACTCTGTTGCATCTAGTATAGTTTCAATGTTGAAAGCTTTGTAACCTTAAATGTTAACTTTTATTATCTCAGAAATCACATCAATCATGTCTTGCATAAAGTTCTCTGGCAGATGGCAGAAAATGCCTGGATCTTCGCTAAGCTTAACTTTTTTCTCATCAAATCTACCCCATTCTTTCATTAATCTCATATGAAGCTAGTAGAATTTCTCCACCTATTTAGCAAGATTATTATCTGTCAAAACTAGCTCGTAAGCAATTCTAAATGGCTTTAGAATACTAAGCTCATTATCGTACTTCTGGACCATGCTTTAATCATGACTTATAGCCTTCTTTTCAGTTTATAATCTTTCAATCATCTTTCTAATATCTAGATATTTTCTAACACTGTGCATTAATCCAAAATGAATCATCTCTAGCTCCATAAAATAGAACTCTGATATAGTACCATATTCTTTAGGAAATTTCAATGCTTGCTTAAACTATTTATTAGCACAAATAGGTGTTTCATCAGTGAGATCTATTCTCTAGCCTGATGGTAAATATGTTGGATCAACCTTTTTCCACAGATCTTTGCTCAAATCTAAGAATGGCACGCACAATTCAAACATGAGATACTAAGCTGTTATGCAAAAAGAGTCAGAAGAGATTTAATTTAAGGAGCTCTTCATGGAATTCGAGACTAAACTGTGGCCCAATTTGGCTCTTGGAGTGTTACTTACAACACAAGCAGCTAAGAATCTCATAACTTGTTCTCTTACATTCTTACCTTTGAGTAAAGTTTTGAATAGATTATTTAGACTTTAAATATACTTTTTATGCATGTCTTGTAAGTTGTTTGCTATTTTGTTGTATTAATTTTAATTCTTAGCCTGCTTCAACTCAATTTCTGCTTTCTCAATTACCTTCATAAATCTCTCATCTCCTTTTAAGTTAAGCGTGCAAGGAAGGAATGAAATACTGAAAAATGGCCCGAGTACAGATTAGCTTTCCAGCATATCTCCAGTACAGGAGCCAATACCCTTTGTGAGGTTTATTCCTCCAGGGCCTGGAATCCAAACTGCTCCTTAATACTTCAAATTAATGAATAACTCTTTGATTTCATCACTTTAGTTCAATATTGCACTCATACTATCAAGCAAGTCATATGCTTTGACATCAAATACAGTTAATTCCTTTTAGAATTTATACCTAATTTGGCCAAAAATATTCTCATAAACTTGGTTAAAACTATCTTCATCCATTGCTCTCAATTATTTATTCAGCTCAGACATAAAACCTATAGAGTAGCCATTCTGCTCAAACATGTGAACAAATCTAAAAGCTGAGAGTTCAATGCCATCATAAGAATTGTTTGCTGGAAGGATCTCTGGAAACATATCTGGGTTTAGTGTCAAAATTGATGTGTAATTGATTGTCATCTCTAAAATAAACTCTAATAACTCTCCGAAGTCTTTATTTACTGCTTTGTCTTTCTCTGCTAAATTGCTACAATAACAGTCTTTAAGATAAACAAGACCATATCTCTTAGGTTGACTTAAAATCTCAGAAAATATAGAATCAAACAGTGTCTTTTTCTCTAGGAGTGTTTTTATTCCTGGGAATTTCTAAAGTTCTCTGTTTGCACTAACTAGATATGTATAATCACTACTCTGAGAAAGCTTAGACAAAGGATCATTTGGATCTTAGGGGTGAAAAATAGTAACTTAAAGCACCTTCTTTAGAATTAAGTTCTCTTGATAGAGCCTCTAGTCAAATTTTATCGTACTCATCATATTATTTGATTTGGTAAATTTATATCTTTAATTTTAAACTTTTGAAATTCTGCATATTACCCCTAGCGGGGTTTTGGGGTTTTGGGGTTTTGGGGTTTTGGGGTTTTGGGG